AGAGGAAGCTGGGCTGAGATATCACCTGTCTCCCCTGGACCTCCAGGTTCCGATATTCAGAGGATGATGTGGCCACCTATGTGGTGCAGCTGCTGCAAGGCCTGGACTACCTCCACGGCCGTCACGTGCTGCACCTGGACATCAAGCCAGACAACCTGCTGCTGGCCTCTGACAACGCCCTCAAGATCGTGGACTTCGGCAGTGCCCAGCCCTACAACCCCCAGGCCCTGCGGCCCCTTGGCCACCGCACGGGCACACTGGAGTTCATGGGTGAGGGCACCACGCCAGCCAGGGTAGGGGGTTGGGGTACTGCCAATGGGACAGCAGCCATAGCTTCCCCCACTTCACCCACATATATGCCATTTATTGGGTGCTTACTGGATGCAAGAAATGAACAAAGCCCTTTCTATGTTTTTTTGTTTCCCCCCCAGTGTATCTTCACAATAGCCCTGGAGATTGGCATAACATTACTTCCATTTTACAGATGAGGAAACAGAGGCATAGTGAGGCTATTTGTCCCATATAAGACAGTTTTCAGAGGTGGAGCCAGGATTTGATAAAGCTGAAAAGATAGGAGAACCAATATTAATTTATATAAGTAAGGAAAACCAGCTACCACTTAGCTACCTGCTAAATACTTTATGTTCATTATCTGTACCCTTTAGATTTATTCTGAAAGCCACACTTTACAAATGAGGAAATTGGAGCGCCAGACGGGTTTAATACATTGCCCAGGGTCCTATAGCTAGAAGGGGCAGGCCTGGGATTGTAGCCAGCCAGGCCGATTCAAAGGCTCTTCATCTTTGTGCTGGCTGCATTCATTGTGAATGGGCACTCCACCTTGGAGCTGACCCGAGGGAGCCAGTGACCCTGGTTCTCAGCAACTCCGCGGTTCTGGTGACCCCACCATTCAGAGCCTGGGCTGATTCCTCAGGTGCCCACAGCTCCCCTGGAGGCCACCCCCACTTCCACCCTGCCTGCTGCTCTGGTCAGACCCACCTCAGGGTGGTGGCCTCAGGGGCCTCCCCAGCCTTTTCCTGCTTCCCTGCCACCAGGAAACTGGTTCAACTTGGCCTCTGTCTCCTGTCAGCTCCTGAGATGGTGAAGGGAGACCCCATCGGCTCCGCCACAGACATCTGGGGTGCGGGGGTGCTCACTTACATCATGTGAGTGCCCCGGACCCACCTTCTGCCCACGGTCTTCCCCCTCCCCAGCACGTGTGTACCCAGGTGCCAGTAGCCCTGTCCCTGAGTGCTGTGCCCCTGAGGACCCCCATGGACCCCCATACTAATGTCTCCCTGGACCTGTGAGTTGACCCTCTGTTCACATGTCTCAATTGAACTGTCTCCACCACAGGCTCAGTGGACACTCTCCGTTCTATGAGCCAGACCCCCAGGAAACAGAGGCTCGTATTGTGGGGGGCCGCTTTGATGCCTTCCAGTTGTACCCCAACACCTCCCAAAGCGCCACCCTCTTCTTGCGAAAGGTCCTCTCAGTACACCCCTGGTGAGTGGGCCCTACACCTGCCAACCCCCCAGTATTACCTTCTTGGCCTCAGACGGCCCTGGTCTAGCCCATGCCCTGGTCTAACGCCTCCCCTGCCCTTGGTAATACACTGTTGTTACTACTACTCAGTGGTTGTCCTACCCACCATTTAAGACCTATGACACAAGCAGAACCACTGTCCCCACTCCAGAGACTGGGAAACTGAGAGTTGCCCAGAGTCACTCACTAGGGGTAAATCCAGGTGTGGGACTCAGATATCTGGGAGGACAGAGCCCAGCCCTGCTCTAGGCTGTCCCTCCAGGCTCACCATTTCTGGCTGGGCCTGGCAGGAGCCGGCCCTCTCTGCAGGACTGCCTGGCCCACCCGTGGCTGCAGGACGCTTACCTGATGAAGCTGCGCCGCCAGACGCTCACCTTCACCACCAACCGGCTCAAGGAGTTCCTGGGTGAGCAGCGGCGGCGCAGGGCCGAGGCCGCCACCCGTCACAAGGTGCTGCTCCGCTCCTACCCAGGCAGCTCCTAGTGGCTCGGACCACAGCCTGGCCCCGGGATTCCACTCGGGGCTCCCGCTGATGCTGCGGGACATTCCAGGGCCCACGCTGAACTGGGTGGACTCAGGGCTTCGGACACCACCAGCAGAAAAATCCAGCCGGGCTGTTACCTCATGGACCTGCGGGGACAGAGGCCCCGGTTTCGGGGGCTTCGGCCAATGCCACCAGGCCAGAGCCAGAGCTGGAGACTCACTGGCCAGGCTGGGTGGAGTTGGAAGCAGGAAGAAGGGCAAGAACAGAAGGGGGAAGTGCGAGGAAGGGGTGGGAGACTCTAGGAAGGTTCTGGGAATGGGAGACAGTGCATCCAGGGGAAAGGAACCCAGGAGGGTGTGAGTGGCTGGAGAGGTGAAAAAGGAAGGAGCCCAGGGTGTCAAGGCCATGGGCTGGGAGTGCCAGTGAAGCAGGGACAGGACATGGGACAGTGTCAGGGTGCCAGAGGCAGCGTGTGAGAGAGGGCAGCAAGATAGGGGAGGGAGAGGAGAGAGGACTCAGGTGGGGATGGGATGGGCCAGCTGCCAGCATCCCATTGAAGAATTGTGGAGGGCTGGAGGCAGGAGGCAGTGGTCACTCAACCCAGAGCTCTCCTGTTGCACTCCAGTGAGTGCAGCTCTGGGCTCTGTGTTGGCCCAAGGATGTCCCCACTGGCCCTCCATGGCCTTTGCCCTTCTTCCCATTCATATTTATTTATTTATTGACTTTTATGAAGTTTTCCTTCCACCCAATCCTAATTGCTCATGTTGTCCTGACCATCCCCCTCCACCCAAGCCATCCAGCTGTCTGTGCAGCTGTCTGTCTGTCTGTCACAAGGGAAATAAAAATAGCAAGCAGCAGGACCTATGTGTGATCTATGGGGAGAGATGGCTGGGGAGCAAGGTGCTGTGACAGGAGTATTCCAGCCTTCCCTGGGCCAGTGAGAGCCCAGGTATACCAGCCAGCACCTTCAGATGTCCTCCTCCCTCCCTGGCCCTCCTGGCCCCTTACCTCTCCCTTATTCCTAGAGGGAAGAGAGACTTCAGTCTGCTTTTCCCTCTGACATTTCTGGAATCCTGGCAGGACCCTGAATCCCCACCACAACCCTCTAACCACACTCTGGTGGTCCCCACCCTTTCTCACATGTTCCATCATCACACCTTGGAAGACGCCAGGCTCTGAAATGGACCGGCCCACACCCCAATCCTGGCTCAGCCTTCTTTCTGCAATGCTTCCCAGCTCTGGCCCTGGTGCCCCAAGCAGAGGGGGTTTTATCATGATGCGAGCAGGTGGTGTGAAGAGCTGCACAGGAGCCCAGGACAGGCCCACCCCCCATGTTCTCAGTGTCAGACCACCAATCAGCTGTGAGTTCTCTGGGCAGTGTGTCTGCTGTGATGATGCTACAGATGAGCATTTTCCTAGACCCCAGGGACACCCAGACTGGACCTTCTGATCCCCATGGCAAGCTGCTGTGAAGTCTGCTGGGGGTGAAGGCACCTCGACTCTGGCTGCAGTGCCACAGAATGGTTAATGGGTTCTAGAACTGAGGTGGGGAGAGAAGGGAGCCAGTTCTCCTGGGGTCCAAAGGGACTGTCCTCCCCGCTTCACCCCTTGAAAACCCTGTTCTTGACAAAGTGACAAGAATAAAGTTGCCACCATGAGCAGAGAGCTGGTGCTGGTGTGTTGCTGATCTAGGTTGAGGGCCCCTTGGCTGGAGCCCAAACAATGTCATCCCAGCCCAGCCTCTCTGGCTTCTCAGGACCCGAGGGAAAAGGCAATACCTATCATCATAAAACAGCAGTTAAAGCAGCTGGAAGGGACCAGAGAGACATCTTTTAGCTCACCTGTCATTTTAGCGATGAAGATATACAGTTTGCCTGTGAGAATCTGTAATCCCCTACTCACTGCAAGTGTTTTCATATAAAAATGAGGTGCCTGAACTCATATCTTGATAAATGGTAAAATTCCTCTCCTGTCCCCCTTCTGATCTTGAACTCCCTTCCCATCTCCATTGGAAATGGCATATGAACTGCTTGTTCCAAACCCGGAGGAGCAAAGGTAATTTATATCAGCAGAGCTGTGTCAAAATTGCTCTGATCAAAAGGTGACAGTGCTCCACACCCGGGTGGGCAGTTGCCATAAATGGAAGCAATGCTCTGCCTGGCAGGCTGGATACCAGGCATGTCCCATCACCTCTGGTGCCCCTAAACATCAGCTTTGCCCCATAATGGGCCGTGGCCCATCCAAAGTTGCTGAGTCAGTATTAGTGCCAATCTCCAGGGACAGTGCAGCCCATACCATATCACATGGAGGAGAGTGCGTGGAGATGGGGGTGGCAGGAAGGGATGCTGTTCTTAAACATCTTTACGGTCCTCTCTAGGTTTATCTCAGTTTACCGCCAGGGGGCACAGTGCGGAAATGACAACCCTAGACTCTGGGGTGGGGGTGGGGGTGAGGCGCTTTCGGATTGGTCCGGACAGCCACGTGGCCCTCTCATAATTGGCTGGATGGACAGTTAAGTCCGCCACTTCTCTGGCTTCATTCAAGAAACCCTCCTCCGCCACCGCCCCCCCCTCCCGCCCCCCGCCCACACTTGCACCCCTTAACTTACAGTATCTCAGTAAGGGCACATTGTCCCATTGTCCAGGGACCGACTGAGTGTAAAGTTGCCTCCCACAAGGAGTTGAATCTCCTGTCGGCGTGGAGCCCGCCTGGTCCTCCCCGGAGTGGGATGGTACCCCTTGCCTTGGAAGGAGATGGGGCCTTGTCCAGCTGTCCAGCTGTCCAGGCGCTGACGCCCGGTGCACCCCAGAGCCGCTCGAGTTTCCCCCCACCCCACCCCCCTAGCCCTATTCTAGCGACTGAGCAGGCATCGCAGGCATCCTCGGGCTAAATAAGGAGCCTGCTTGGGTCAAGGGGCGGGAGCTGGGGTCCCGGGGGGCTTGGGGCAACCACGCCAAACAAGGCAAGGAGGGGAGCGATGTATAAAACCAGGGCCCAGGGCTGAGCACCTGCCCGCGCCCCTACTGTGCCATCGGAAGGGCTTCGCACCGCCTGCTGCCCACCTAGTTCACTCAGGTCCCGAAGTCGACGCCCCCACCCCCACGGTGAGTCCGATCCTCAGACCAGCTCTAGCCACTTCCATCCCGGGGACGTTTTGAATCCAAAGGGCAAAGGCTGAAGGTCGCAGTCTCTGTGTCAGCCTAGACCCCCGTGTTTGTTTTCCGCTGCCCAGATGTCCAAAGCAGCTCCCGCCAAAAAGCCGGCGGCTACGGCCCCGCCTCCAGGATGTAGCCTGGACATCAACGACCCCCAGGTCCAGAAAGCGGCCATTCGTATCCAGGCCTCTTACCGGGGCCACAGGTGAGGGGTAGCCCTAGCGCCTCTGAGGGAAGGGAGCTGAAACTGCAGAGTCCGCATTCCGCATTGGGGAAGGGCGGTCCTGAGCACAGGGCCAGGGACTGCCAAGGCCACTGGGTTTAGGGGAGAGCAGTTGCTGAGGTGTGGCAGGAGGCCGACAAGAGCAGGTCATTTCATCGGGGTAATGATTCAGGAGCGGCCCCTCCCCCGCACCTCCCTGTGCTTACGGATCTAGTCGGCCGAGGGGGCGGGCAGGGGACTGTGTGCGGGCGGACAGGGCTGCGGGAGGGTGCGAACGGTGTCTGGGAACTCTGGGCCCTGCCCCTGCCCGCGAGCAGGTCCCGGAAGGAGCTGCGGGAGACCGGGCCGCCGCGCGTGCTGGAACCGCTGAAGGACGTGGTGCTGATCGAGGGCAGCGCGGCCAAGCTGACTTGCCGCATTTCGGCTTTCCCGGACCCATTCATCCGCTGGAGCAAGGACGGCAAGGAGCTGCGCGACGGGCCCAAGTATCGCTACATCTTCGAGGACCCTGACGTAGTCGCATTGGTGGTGCGCGATGGCGAGCTGGCGGACCTCGGCCAGTACAGCATCAACGTAACCAACCCCTTTGGCCAGTGCTCCGACTCGGCGCGCATCCTCGTGGAAGGTGCGCACGCCCCGCGTGCAATGCCGCGGAGCAGAGCAGCATCGCGGTCTGCAGCGGGTTTCAGCCGCGCGTTTATCCTCGGGCCCAGCTGAGTCCGGGTGGGGATGTGGCCAGCCCAGCCCCTGGCACAGCCTGAGGCACAGAGTAGGGCGCAGATCCGCACGGCCTGTGTAGTCTTTTCTACCTCGGGATCCCATCCCACCCAGCCTAACAGGTCCGGTATGGGTTTCAACCACTCGACTTCAGAGCGCCAAGGGCACTGCGATCCAGGGGCAGAGCTAGGGAGAGAGAGCCCTGATCTTCTGGCTCCCAACCCAGGGCAATCTCCACTATCCAGAGCTGTCTCCAAGGCACCCCGAGAGGTGTGAGCATTCCTGGGCTTTCACCCATAGTATCTCTTCTCATCCTCCATTCAACCCTACGAAGTAGGAGGGGCAGGGATTCATCTCGTTCAACAGCTGAGTTGCTGAAGCCCGAGAGGCTAAAGACGTGCCCAAGGTCACGCTGAGACTTCAGATCCATCTCGTATTTAGGGCCGGGTAATAGTTGGGAGGGTGATGTCCCGCCTCACGTTTAGGTCCCTCACTGGGTCGCATTCCCTTTCCCTTTCTCTAGTCCCGGCGAAAATTCAAAAGGGACCGGACAACACCAAGGCGCGCAAAGGCACCACCGTGACGCTGACTGCGGCGATCATGGGCGAGCCTGCGCCCAACGTGGGCTGGACCAAGGACGGCAAGGACATCGAGGAGGATGACAGGCGAGGGCGGGGAGCGGCTGCAAAGGCAGGGCCTGGCGCTGGAGCCTGGGCCGGATGGGGCCCAGAAAACCCGCGGGAGTGGGACGAGGGAGGGGAACCCGGAGGCAAAAAACAGCGCTGGCAAAGAGGCCCGGCCGGGAAGCCCGTAAGCTGACACGCGGCCCCGCCCCCTTCCCCCGCAGGGTTTACTTCGAGATCGGCAGCACCAACACAACGCTGACCATCCGCCGGGCCACCCCCCAGGACAGCGGCAAGTACGAGGTGTACGTGGAGAACAGCCTGGGCATGGACCAGAGCTTCGCTCGCGTGGACGTGGCCTGAAAGGGACCCTCGGAACTTTCGCTCTGTCTCCACGCCTTGGGGTGGGTGGGACTAACAACCCCCTTCTTCTTGCTTAATAAAGCTGCTTTCTCGGACCCTCCGCGTCTGTTCTCTTCTTATGAGTCGCCATTTCCACTCCCCGGTACCCACACACCGAAGTCACAGTGTTGGGGGCAGAGGGAAGTTTGGAGAGTGCCTAGTCCAGTGCCTGTATTCACAGACAGTAAATCTGAGCGAGATCGGCTTCTCTCACGGTGGGAAGCTGCTTCACTGCCCAGCAGGAGGGCAGAGGCGTCTACGACTCCTTCTTTTCTTTTGTAACCTTCAAGCCTCACCCTTTCGTGGGGGAATTGCGCGCTGCCCACGTCCGTTTCAAGGGTGACCACACCCCACTCTCCTCTGCAGGCTCGCTTCCCCTGTGACCTACTTTCTCTACTTGAACTACTACCCCCGGGCCCATTCCCAGGCGGCTCGCGATCCTAATCCCGGCTCCCGCCTCCGCTTCTCATTTCGACCCTCCCCTTCAATCCCTTGGCCACGCCTCCTTGTTCTCCCACAAGTTCCACCCCTTTCTCTGTGGGAACGAGGGAGGAACTTCAGAACTACAATTCCCAGCAGGCCCTGCGAAGTTCTCGCGAGTGGCGAGAAGACACGTGCGCGGAAGCAGCCAGCAGTAGCGGGCGGCAGAGCTGGCGTAAAGGGGACTGGGGGTAAAGAGATCCGATGGAGGGGTAGCGAAAGGGGGAGAGGGCCGGGCACGGCCCCTAGGCGAAGGGCGGCGCGGAGGTCCGGGCTGGCTCTCCGCACGGCGGATGCAGTCCTGGTCCCACAAGCCCTGGATACGCGAGGTTAGGGTTTATTAGTCAGTTGTGGGGTTCAGAGGGTCAGCAATCAGTCCTCCGATCCCAAAGATTCAGCACTTGTCAGTCTTGGGACACAGGCGATTGGCATGTTGTGTTTGGAATGTCTTTTTGATTCAGGGATCATCACCCTAGAGGTTAATTTTAGGATTTTAGGTTCAGCATAGAAAGGGTTTTTGCCAGGGGTTGGAGTTGTCAAATGTACATCAGTGTTAGTTTAATACTTAAAGTGGACTCTTAGGACTGTAGTGAAGTATGTGGGGCTCACCCGGGATTTGAGGGTCAATATCAGGATTCACTGTTGGGATGCAGGGCTTAACACCTAGAGTGGGGATGGACCAATATGGGAATCCGTGGTTTGGGGGTTTGGTTTTTGAAGATTTGGGGTGTGAGAGGGAGGTCTATTGCTGAGCTTCGGAGTTTGCTGAGCTTTCAGCCAGAAGGAAGTCTGTTAGGGATGAGATTGCGGGGTGTGGATTTCAGAATTTTGGAGGAATCACTGTGAGGTTTGAAGGCTGGCTGGATTTGGTTTGGGATTTGAGATGTGTGAGGTGGGGTGCCCAGGGAGGGACTAGATTGAATTTATATCCCGGGAGGGCTCAGTGTTGCTATTTTGGGTTTAGGGTTTGGTTGGGGTATGAGTGGGGTTCCAGGATTGGGATGTGAGATCTGAGCCTAACTTTTCTTTGCTATTTGAGGTTTAGGTCACAATTGCCATCATGCTTAAAGCTGTGATCCTGATTGGAGGCCCTCAAAAGGGTGAGGAGCCAGGGGAATGTCGGGAGGCGGTTGAGCTGGAGTGGTTGGGAAGCAGAAAACAAAAATATGCTTCTCTCTTCTCTCTCAGGGACTCGCTTCAGGCCTTTGTCTTTTGAGGTGCCCAAACCCCTGTTTCCAGTGGCAGGGGTCCCTATGATCCAGCACCACATTGAGGCCTGTGCCCAGGTAATCCTGTAGGCTCCCCTCTCCCACCTCCATTCATCTCCTTCATGCTGTATTTCCCCCTTTACCAATCATGACCTCTTCCAACCAGGCATAACTCCAGGGACCACCATTTACAAATGACACTGTGAGTCACCTCCCTCCACCATCACCACACCACCAGTTGTGCAATGCAGTTGTCATGTGTATTCTCCTAATCTAGCTTCTTGTCTGGCTTCTTCTTGCTCATATTTCACTCCTATGGAATGTGAGATTAGGCAGGAATCTTAGAGACAACTTAAAGCCATAGCATGAGAAACCTTAATGATAACAAAGCACAGAATCATACTACTCTTGCTCACTATAGAGCTAATTCCTTTATTGCTTTTGGTATTGGAACTGGCAAGGTTGATTTGAGTCCAGTCTCTGCCTGCTAAAAGGAATTGAGCAAATTTCTCACCCTTTCTTAGCCATAGTTTCCTTATTTGTAAAGCGGGGCTGATTAGACCTACTTTGTGGGGTTGCAAAGCTTAGAGATGATGTTTGTAAAGTAATTAGTACAATGTAGACACTTGACAAATGGTATCCTTAACCTCATGCTGATCTTAAGCTCAGATTGACAGATAATAAATATGGGGGAAATGAATGGATTATCCTTAATGCAGCTTGATAGGCAAACTCCTAGGGTGAACCCCACTTCAGATTGGGGGTGGGGGGAATAATCTATAATAATAAAAGCATAATATGCTAATTAGACTGGACGTCCTTCCAGACAACCTTCTGGACGAAGCTGGGGCTGTGAGGGAAGCCCGGGTCCCGGGTGCCAGAGGGAAGCTGGTGCTGGCAGCCGGAGGAAGGAAGGCCTACTCTTGCATGAATTTCGTGCATCGGGCCTCTAGTAGAATAATAAAGGATTAAAGGACTCTAACTTTGAGAGTCTTTTAATTAAGGGAAACAGACTCTAACTTCGTCATTGTCCAGAGGAGAAATCGGACCAGCATGGTAAAATGAATGCCCAAGGCCACAGTTGAGACTGAACGTGTGATTTCTGGATTTTGGGCCAGTACCAGGGATTTCTCCCTCCCATAATCCCCTCCTATCAGATGCTGTTCTTCTCTCAATCTCTTCCCTTGACCTCAGGTCCCTGGGATGCAGGAGATTCTTCTCATTGGCTTCTACCAACCTGATGAGCCACTTACCCGGTTCCTAGAAGCTGCACAACAAGAGTTTAACCTTCCAGTCAGGTCAGGTGTTTGTGCGCATGTGCCGTGTAGGGGTGGGGGAGCAGTGCCCTAAGCATCTGAGTTCTCAGGAGTGGGTTGAGCCAGCATGGCCAGAAGTCACCCTAACACACTAGGAGGTTTCTGAATTCCTGTATATATTGAGTTTCTCTGTGGGGCTTGGGCAGGCATATCCTGGGAACAGGAGGGGTCAGTGCCCAGATTCATCGTATCTGACTCCTCTGATCTCACTGAGCTGGCTCTGGGGTCCCTGGGGACAGGTACCTGCAGGAATTTGCACCTCTGGGCACAGGAGGTGGTCTCTACCACTTCCGGGATCAGATCCTGGCTGGGGGCCCTGAGGCCTTCTTCGTGCTCAACGCTGATGTTTGCTCCGACTTCCCCTTGAGCGCTATGTTGGCTGCCCACAGACACCAGCCTCACCCTTTCTTGCTCCTGGGCACCACGGTGAGGGGGGTAGGAGGGTGTCGAGAGGGTGATCCAGAGAGGTTCCTGGGATGCAGGGTGTTGGGGAGGCAGGGCCAGAACAGGGAGTTGGAGTGGGAATGCAGGTCAGGGGGGGTAGGTGCTAGAAACCCCAGCAGTAATGGAGGTGGTGGTGGAGAGAGACCTTGAGCCCTTTAGCTGCTCAGAAGTAGAGTGGGGAGGGCAGCTGTCAGTTCTCACCCCATCTGAAGGCTTGTCAGTGGCAGAGCTACGTGCCAGGTGCTATAGGAGAGGGAAAGTACGAGAGAGAAAACAGACCTTGCTGCCCTGGATCAGGCAGGTCACTCCCTCGTTGTGTCTGTCAGGCTAACAGGACACAGTCCCTCAACTATGGCTGCATCGTAGAGAATCCACAGACGCATGAGGTAAGAGCAGAGAGGAGGCTGGCTGGGTGCCTATTCTGTGTATCATCATTCTCCCACTCTTCAGCCTCTAGAGCAGCGGTTCTCAGCCTGTGGGTCACGACCCCTTTGGGGGTTGAACGACCCTTTCACAGGGTCGCCTAAGACCATTGGAAAACATATATAATTACATATTGTTTTTGTGATTAATCACTATGCTTAATTATGTTCAATTTGTAACAATGAAAATACATCCTACATATCAGATATTTACATTACAATTCATAACAGTAGCAAAATTACGGTTATGAGGTAGCAACGAAAATAATTTTATGGTTGGGGGTCACCACAACATGAAGAACTGTATTAAAGGGTTGCGGCATTAGGAGGGTTGAGAACCACTGCTCTAGAGAATGCTGGAATGCTATGGGGTGGGCCCCAATCTTGTCCAACAGGTGTGGCACACCCTCAGTTGTTCCCTTCTATCTCTTTAAGAAAGATTAGGAAGAGGTAATAGATAAATGCCATGGGTGTGGTGCTCCAATAGATATATGCATAGGCCATATATCACAAAAAGGGCTCCTACCCAGCCTATCTGGGTGGGGGTGGGGAGGGCTCCCTGGAGGAGGTGTGGTCTGAACTGAGTTAAATTTGGCAGCATGGAGACAGGAAGGCATTGCAGGTAGAGGGAACAATATATGCAAAGATATGGAGGCAGGAAACAGCATAATGCCTCCAGAATTATGGAGGTGGGAGCATAATTAGCAAGGCGGGGGTGGGGCTGGGGACTTCTGACCCTATCTCTGAAACTCTCTGGAGCCTCACTAACTTTCATACACCCCTTTTGTCTGTTCAAGTTTTAGTATTAAAAATACATATGTGAATACATTATATATATATATACTAGAGGCCCAGTGCATGAAATTCATGCACTGGGGGGGGGGGTGTCCCTCAGCCCGGCCTGTGCCCTTTCACAGTCCAGGAGCCCTCAGGGGGATATCCAACTGACAGCTTAAGCTGTCATCTCCAGCCATGAGCCCGGCTTCTAGCTGAGCACACTCACCACCAGGGGGCAGCTCCTGTGTTAAGTGTCTGCCCCCTGGTGGTCAGTGTATGTCATAACAACCAGTCATTCTGCTGTTTGGTTGATTTGCATATTAGCCTTTTATTATATAGGATATTTACACACGCACAGAGTTTTGTGTTAGGCACTAACTAGTGTGAAAGAAACAGCCAGAGAGACACAACCCTGCCTCTCAGGAGCCCTCAGTCTGGGGGAGACATCAAAAACCAACCATTGCAGAGGACACAAGTGCCACCATGGGTGGGTGAGGTGTGGCCAGAGAACAGGAGTGCCCAGAGCTGAGAAGCTCACTCTGGGGCAGACAAGAGTGTCCTTAGAGAGGGAGAGACGATGTCAACTGGGTTTTTGAAATCAAAGTCTTCCAGACGAAGAGTTGGTTAAGGGCATTCCGAAAGGCACCGGCATGCCGTGCCGTGGAGTTGTGTCCTGGAACCTCTGGGAGGTGGGGAGGATCGGGAGGGAGAAGGCAGACAGTTCGGACTTATCTTGAAGGCGGAGTTGAAGGGCAGTGACAAGATATGCTCTGCATTTTAGAAGACTCCCGTGGCAACAGGAGGACTGGCCATTTGGAGGGTCTTAGGGGATGGTGGCCGTGGCCCCTCTGCTGACCCCAGCCTGCTCTGTCCTCAGGTTCTGCACTATGTGGAGAAACCCAGCACGTTTGTTAGTGACATCATCAACTGCGGCATCTACCTCTTTTCCCCGGAAGCCCTGAAGCCCCTTGGCGATGTCTTCCAGCGTAATCAGCAGAATGGGCGACTGTGAGGCAGACCCCATGGCCCTGTAACCCCAAGTACCCTGAGTCACAGCCCCCCTGCCCCAGTCTCTGCTGGCTCCATCTCAGCCAGCTCATCTTCCTCCTCCCTTCCCCCTTCCACTTGTCATCTCCAGCCAAGCCTCTCCAGCTCCTCCCCTTCTAACCTCATTCTGTCCCTCTTCTTTATCCATCCCAGTTCCTCCTCTGTCACCACCTGCCCACTCCCCTTCTGGTCCATTTCTCTCAAGCCCTGAGTGTCCCAGAGATGTCTTTCAGAGCAGACGGTAACACACACACTTGGGCGCACATATGTTTGGGTGCAGGCATGCGTGTGTGCACGTGTGCGCGCACACACACACACACTCTCAGGCTGAGGAGGCTCCCTTTGGAGTATAGTACCCCAAAGGGAGCTATGCTCACCACAAACCACAATCCCAGGGTGGTCCTCCTAGGCCTGGGAACGGTTCCCTTCTCTGGCTCCCCTGCCTTCATTCCCTCTCATGTCTCATTCCCTCATAGCCATCTTTTCACTCCCACTCTTATCTCTGCTTCTCTCTCCATCTCTCCTGGCCTCTTTGTTTCTGCTGAACTGGCATCTCTACCATCTCTCTCTCCCTCTTTTTCTGTGACTGTCTCTGCCCTCACCAGCTGCCTTCCTCTGGGGTGAGTCTGTCTGTGTTTCATTCCATCCAGTGAGAGGGAGGGACCGGAGGTGGGGTTTAGAGGGGTGGATGGGAGGAGGATGGGATAATTGGGGGAAGCCAAATCTGGTCGAACTCCTTCTGGACATGGGGCAGGATGGGCAGCAGGTCTATGCCTGGGGCTCCCCTGGGATAATCCCCAGCTGGGAGAGTGAGGGGCTGAGTAGTGGGTGAGCCTCCTGGGATGTGAGCATCCTTGGGAGAGGCCTTGCAAGGTAATGGGGTTCCCCCCGATTCCCCTTCCTGAGAGACTGTATTGGCCACCCAGTTGGGCTCAGTTGGGGAACTGATGTCAGCGTCCTGTCCCCTCTACCAGGGAGGACTCTTCAGTCCTGTGGCGGGGGGCAGGCACCATCCGCCTGGAGCAGGACGTGTTCTCAGCCCTGGCTGGGCAGGGCCAGATCTACGTGCACCTTAATGACGGTATCTGGAGCCAGATCAAGTCTGCAGGGTATGGGAGAGGCCTCTGATGGGGTGTCTGGGGGTTGAGACTTCAGGACGGTGGGCACAGGCCCTGCTGGCCCCTGAGCCCCTGCTCTACTTTGTGGCCCCCAGCTCGGCCCTCTATGCCTCCCGCCTCTATCTGGGTCAGTACCAGTTCACTCACCCCGAACGCCTGGCCAAGCACAGCCCAGGCGGGCCGCGGATCCGAGGTACCCATCCTGCCACAATTCCTGAGCTCTGCCCTCCCCCCCCCCCCCTCCCCACTCCCCATCCCTCTACCCTCAGAGCTTTGACTCTGGACCTCAGACCCAGAGGTGAAATCTGAATCCCTGCCCTCCCTGAACCAGATATGGTTTGGGGCATTTGCCTCCAGGTCCTCTCTTCTGCTTCTAGGAAACGTTTATATCCACCCAACGGCTAAGGTGGCCCCATCAGCTGTGGTAAGCAGTGCCCAGCCCAGGGAGGAAGGTGGGTGGGGCAGGGCGGGTATCTCCAGAGCTTGGAGTACAGGCCTCTTATGTTTGTCACAGCCTGTCATATGGCCTCAAGTAGGTTCCTTCCCCCTTATGAGCGGGTCCTCCAAGCCCCCCCAGGGCTTATGGCATATGTTCCTCTCCACAGCTGGGCCCCAACGTCTCCATTGGGGAGGGGGTGACTGTGGGCGAGGGCGTGCGGCTCCGAGAGAGCATTGTCCTCCATGGAGCCACGCTGCAGGTAGGCACCCCAGCATGTGCCCTAAGAAGCTGGGGAGAGGGGGAACCCCACGGGCTCTGGCCCCTCACTTCACACTGTCCTGTTTGGCAGGAGCACACGTGTGTGCTGCACAGCATTGTGGGCTGGGGGAGCACTGTGGGGCGCTGGGCCCGCGTGGAGGGTACCCCCAATGACCCCAATCCCAACGACCCCCGGGCCCACATGGACAGTGAGAGCCTCTTCAAGGATGGGAAGCTGCTGCCTGCCATCACCATCCTGGGTATGGCTTCCCAGGGGACTCAGGGCCGTGAGAAACCGCCACAGGTGATAGGTGGGCTCTATGGGGAAAATTTGTGCTTGTGTGAGGGTGTGTGTGTGTGTGTGTGTATTTTCCTTTAGCAAACATTTACCAAGTGCCTGCTGTGTGCCAGGCCCTGTGTGAGTCACTGGGGGCATGGGGCCAGGGCACAGATGGGCAGGGAGGGATCCCCCCTAATGGCAGTGGCCCCCCCAGCTCCTTGCCCCTGGTTTCCTCTCCCCATGGCCTCCTCCTGGTGCCCTCGTCCACACTGCAGGCTGCCGCGTCCGGATCCCTGCTGAGGTGCTCATCCTGAACTCGATTGTTCTGCCACACAAGGAGCTGAGCCGAAGCTTTACCAACCAGATCATCCTCTGAAGGGGGCCTCCAGAAGGCCCCCCAACTCCTGCCCCTCCAGCCTCTGTCCAGAATGGACCTGGGGAAGCCAGGCAGAATCTTCACACACTGGGAGCAGTGTGGGTGGGTGGGTGGGTGGGGGACTCGGCCTCCCTCTCCGTTGCTCCCTAATAAACCCCATGAACCTTGGAGCCAGTGAGGACTCGGCTTGTGCCTGGACTGGTGTGGGGGTGGAAGGGGGGCAGCTGAGTCAGGCCCCCCCACATTAGCATTTAAATTGGAGTCATTGCTGCGGGCTCATGAATAATGAATCTGGAGCCCTGGTAAATCTCCCCCTCCCACTGCCTCAGCCTCAGCACTGCTGCTCAGAGAAAGGCCCTCCAGGCTCCCAGCCTGCCGGCCCCGCCTTCACCCCTACCCTGATGCTGCCTGCCTGCCCGCCTCCCTGTTCCTCTTCACTGGGTTTGGCTCAGGCCTGGGAGTGGAGGACTTTCCAAGGGAAGGGTAAAGGATTTCAGTTGGGCAGTGGGGTAGGGGTGGCGGACACAGGGACCAGGAGCCACAAGTCTGAGATTTGGTCACCGACATCCCCTGTCTTCAGTTTCTGCCTCGCCCCGGCCTGTTTTCTGCTTTGCCAGCTCCACCCGCTCCTGGCCCAGCGTTTGGCAGAGTGGTGGTTTCCCCCTCGCCCACCAGAGCTTGGTGTCTGTCTTCTACTCCCCTGGCAGGCACGGTGGGCCTAGCTGGTACCTCTCCCTCCGCATGTAATCACTGTAGGCAGCGCTGTTCCGCTGTTCCGGGGGAGGAGGACACCTGCCACCTCCCACCATCCTGGCTTTGTCTCTGGGAGGTCCCAGCCCTCCACTCCACATTCCTGAAACCCCAGAGAAACCCAGCACCGCTCATGTTTGCCCATGACCCCCGCGTGCCCCTCTTGGTGCCCCCCCCCCCTTTCCCCAGCTGTGGGTGCGGAGCTTAGTTGCCAGATGAGCTGGTAATGATCGTAATCTGCTAATTGAGAGGAATCTAATTACCCGAAGAGAATGGGGGGGCAGGGCGTGGGTGGGAGGGAGGAGGGGGTCCTGGCAGCAGGCTGCAGGGTGCTGGGCCTTGTTGTCAGCACCAGGGCCTGGGACAGAGCCCAGGATTTCATCGCCAGGCGGTTAGGAAGATGAGCTTGTTCAGCAGCTGGGCTGAGGGTGACATGGGGATTGGGCTGGAAGTGACCTCCCAGGCCCTCAGGTCCTGCAGGCTGGGTGAGAGCGCCTGGGAAATGACCCAGGGTTCTAGTGGGCGTGGCTTCTAACCTGCCTTGACTTGGCCCCTTCCTGTTTCCTGGAGCCCAGACCTGCCATCACCTCTGCTGGGCGTGGGAGGAGGCTGCAGGTGCCTACTCTGGGCCTGGGGTCAACTCCCTGAGGAAGGGATCGGGTCCCTTCTCTTTCCTCCCCCCAGTCCTGACCCTTCTGTTCTGAATGGTTGGCAGAGGCCATGGCAGCTCCATCATAAATATGATAATTTAATTATTTTCTCAGCAAAACACCGTGAAATCCAATAAGTCTGTGTCAGGCCCTGGCCCCCAGGACCCCCCTCCTATGCCCAGTGGGGGTGGGGACTTGGTGGGGAGGCACTGGAAGGGGAAAGGGTCAGTGTTCAAAGTGGGCGGGGGCTAGTGAAGCGGAGGTCTCTGTAACATGCCCCCCAGGCTGATGGAGCCACTGTTGTGTGTTTGTGCTCAGGTGGAGGGGGGACTAAGAAAGGGGGCCTAGAGCCCCATCCAGCTCTGAGGGCACCCCTCAGGGCCCAGGATGTGGGAGCCCCCTGCCTCTGGAGGGGGGAGAGCAGGGAGCCCCCTTCTCAGTCCCCTCTGGGACCTGACTGTAAGGGTGCTGGCCCCCTGGAGGGGTTGAGAAGGGAGAACTGAGGGAACTGGGGTGGGAAGTGGGGGATGAAGAGGGGAGGGATGCGGGGGAGGGGTGCGCTCCTGCCATTAGTGCTTTTCTCCGTTTCCATAAAAAGATTATTCTGTAAAATCAGCGAGGGGGAGCGAGCTGGGGGCCGGGGAGAGGGGTGGGTCTCTGGCACCAAGCTGGATGGGGCGCTGGAGAGGAGAGCTGGGACGGGGAGATTTGGGTGGGCTTCCAGAACCAACCAGGGGAGAGGCCACGCCAAGAACACAGCTTGCCAGGAGGCTGGCCAGGACAGGGTGGGCGGGGACCAGCCCTCATCCCCTTCCTGCCCCTTTGGTGGGATTGCCCTGGGCCCCAGTCCCACCCCCATCTCCATCTCCTCCCCCAGCACTTAGCAGCCATTATCGGGGGAGCAGATTGCATCCCCCTCCTCCTCTCCGGGAAACAGACACAGCTGGGGCCCGCCACATCTGCCGCATCAGCACGGAGCACAGCTGGGTGTGCCCAGAGCCACCATCCCCAAAACACAAAGGGGGGCGGAGGCCAACGAGAGCCCAGACCCCTGGGACAGACACACTGACACCACTGCCAACAGACATACTCCTAGTGGCAAAGCTCTACCCACCACACACGCTCCAGTGCAGACAGAACTGACAAACATGCAATTACTCTGCCCCACCCACCACCCCCACTCCCCGCCCCCTGCCCCTCTACTCCTCCTCTTCCTTCCCTCCAGGCTCCCCTCCGTCACCTCCACCACCTCTGAACGGCTGCAGACTCTCGTCTGGAAGGAGCAGGGGTCTCACCCTCCCCAAGTGCACACGTCTGGGAGGCTTGGGGAACAGGAGGGCTGGAGATAGCGAGGGGCTTCCAGTCCAGGGCGCCAGCCTGGAGAAGCTACCTGCCTTCCTCCATGCCCACACCTCTCCCCACAAAGAAAACCCCTTGAAATGCGGGTCCTTGCGACCCTGGGCATGATGAGGTCTCCATCCAGGGACAGGCTGGCTGGGTACCCTACGGATGTTCCCCGTGACCCTGGGTTTCATTGGCCACCTCTAGGAGGCGTTGCGTGCCCTCAGTCTTGCCAGGAGCTCAGAGGCTCCCAGGGCTGGCCTCTGCCACTTACTCCCACCCAACAGTCTACCAGCACCCTGCCCTCAGCAACGGCCCCTTCTGCTCAGCTCTGCTGCCTCTGACAGGTGCAGGGTGTGGGGCTGGCCAGTGGCCGAGAAGACCACCCCCCACAGGAGATGCGCTGGGGTCCCTTCTATCCCCCCTCGTTCCTAGGTGATGATCGCCTCTCGGTTCCTGACTAAATCCTGCCCTTTTGGCAGCCCTCGTTTCTCCCATCATCTCCTTGGTCCTGATGTCTTGCCCTCAACCCTCTCCTCCCTGCCTCACCCCCGCCCCCGCCCCCGCCCCCACCCCTCAACGCTTTAATCCTTCCTGCTGCTGTGCTGCCTTATCTGTTCCCAGCAGCTTTCGCTACTGCAAAGCCCTCTCCCCCTCCTCTTCTGGATCTTCTCCCTGCTCCTTCCCTGGCTCTCTCTTCGCTCTGACCTGCACTGCCCGCCCCCCCTCGCCTCTCAGGCCGGGAGATGGCTCCTGGCTGACACCAGATCTGCACCCCAATGCCCTCTCTCCAGCCTCAGCTCCGACACTGCCAGCTGCCCACCCACTGCTACACTAGCCTCCTCCCCCCACCCACCCCTACCCCAAAGGCCCCATAGACTTGGTCAGTTTCTATCCAGCCAAGATTTATCTTTCTTCTTTCCCTGCCCTCCCCTTCCTGGCCCCCTCCCCAGTTCCTCCAGCCGCCCTTCAATCCTGGACCTGGACTCCTTCAGTCCCTAGTGACCCACTCTCAGCGTGGGCATCCCAAAGGGGGTTGGGGGTGCCACAGGAGTGGGGTCTGGGCTGGCCCCAGGATGGGGCCTGGGATGCAGGGGGCAGTGGGGGAAGGGCCTGGTGGTGGGACACTAACCCTCCTAAGTCACTTCAGATCACGTCCAGGCCTCCCCACCCCCCTTCTCCGGGACTCTCATTAACCGTTTCTCCTGCCTCGTCCGCAGCATAAATAACCCAGATAAATCAGCCGCGGTCCGCCCCCCGCCCCTCAGCCCCCGCACAGCCCGTTTGTCACCGCTGCTTGCTCACCAGCCAGCCTGGCCCAGTCCCGGCCCCCACCCCCTAGCGTGGTCCCTGCCCACCCACACTGGCTCATCCCTTGGTCCGCACCAGAGCCGGGGCTGGAACAAATGTCTGGGCTGTCGACGGCAGGGGGGTGTCCTTTGGGACCAGGAGGGAGGCTGGGGACTCTCTCTAGGGGAATGCTTTCTAGGATTTTGGGGATCATGTCATTTAGAATGGGGCCACCAAGACAAGGAGTTGGGGCCACACGTGGTGGGAAGGGGCGAATGCAGCTCAGCGTGGGGGTCCCTGTGCTGGGAGAAGAGGCAGAGCCCAGGAGCCCTGATGCAGGAAGACCCGGAGGGTCCTCGGAGCCCCACAAGCTGCATTCTGGGAGGTTTTATTTTGCCTCCTGCCCCCTCCCAGGTGCTCTGAGTCAGAACCCTCTGGCCTCCCTGTCCCCTCCGTCACTCTGCCCCCATTCCCATGCCCTGCCTCGTCAGGCTGTACAAAGGCCACTCCAATCTCACCGCGCAGTCCACCCACCGTTCTCTTTCTTGGTCTGGAAGCCAAGTTCATCCCGTTTGGGGTGGGGGGCGGGCGGGTGGAGAATTTAACTGGGAACTAATCTGGGGAATGGGGACAACAGGGGACAGAGGACACCTGGCTAAGGCTTCAAGCCAGACCCTGTAATCACCCCCCACCATGGCCCCCGCTCTGTACCGGGCACTCACACTCCCAACTAGAGTCCCTGACGGCCCTTCCCATTTTGATCACACCCAGTTCGGGTTCTGGCCAGCTACACTTGGCCCTGACGCTCACTGCAGGGGGCAGCCTGTCCCCTGGGAGCGGGTGGGGGGGCAGGGAAGGGATGGGAGAGCTTGGGCGCTGGGCTGGGGGTGGGGGTGGGGAAGAAGCTGGGCCGGGCCCCAGGGACCAGCTGGGCAATGAGCCGGGGAAGCAGCCAGGAGGCTAAATGAGGGAGATTATCACCCAACTGCAGCCGGGCAGAGAGGGAGGCAGGCAGGGAAGCAGGGAGAGGGAGGGGAGAAAGGACGGGGACCAGAGGGAGAGGGGGT